AAGCGTCACTGATTGCTGCTTTACAGCCGTTGTTTGACTCAGCCAAGGGAGACGAGAAACAATGGAACCTACTCGTGCACAATGCAGGAAGTTTAGGATGCCTGACAAGCCGGGCTGACGAACGTATCTCACTGGCGCAACTAGATGCATACTATCGAACCAACGTGACGACTGTAATGGTTTTGACCAGCTTATTCCTGCAGCACTTCGCTCCATATGGTGTCCAGCATGCTCCCACCATGGTGGTTAACGTGAGTAGTCTTGCTGCCGCACAGCCATTCCCATACATGTCGGACTACTGTACCGGCAAAGCTGCCCGAAATATGTACATGGAGTGCCTTGCAGTGGACAGACCCTCAGTAGCTGTCTTCAATTATTCTCCCGGACCCCTAGATACAGACATGTATACTCAGCTGATACTAGAACATGGAGATGAGAAAATAAAAGCACAACATGCCGAAAGCAAACGAAGCGGGCAACTGATTGACCCTGATGAATCAGCCAGAGTTTGTGTTTCTTGGATCGCCCGGTTCCACATTGATACTGAGCGGGGGAACGTACCAAAAGCCCTGGTGTGTTCTGTTCACCACTCCGGATGGTCAAATGTATGGCGCGGACCTCGTTTGGATTATTATGACGCTGTTGCTATGGAGCGGCGATGACAACACTACAAAAATCTCCGACAATCACAATCCGAATTTACCTTATTCAAGAGTAGAACTTTCTTCCGCGCAATCCGTACTATCATGTGATTTGGTTAATGCTTATGACAAAATGATTCATAATAAAACTCGCAACCAATAACAATTGCCAGACTGTTAGTTGGTTAGGTTGTTGTTCTGATTATCCTTCGATAGATGTTCGGGTCAACGAAAGACCAACAACCCTCCAGGAGGGTTTCTTTGGTGGGTCTGTGTAGAACTGCCCAAAACAACGCTGCCTCTCTCAACGATTAAGAGAGATACACATGATTGAACGTGTTTGGATTCAGTATACCTCCGAAAGTTTCTCAAGCAGAAAAAATCTGTTAACCGGACAGACTCAAGGAAAGCTTCGTGAAGCGTTTGCAAACAACCACGTGACACCAGCTAGCTCTCAACGTTGACCAATCCCAACATGAGTAATCAGGGCGAGGACAAGCTTGACAAAATAAAGAATATCATTCTAAAGAAAGATGTTCTCTGTTCTGTANGCGCCGCACAGAAAATTGAGAATATCCGTGGATGGCATTGGATGCCGTAGGAAAAATCTTGACTGACAGGCGGTCTGTCGAAGTTGAAACTAAACGATCTCTTAAAGGAATAACATGGGTTTGACGATGTGAACGAAGTGCCAGGGTTATTTACTATGTCGGAAAAGTGTGGGATATTTTGGTAGCGCGATGGTGCTTATTCGTATGTGTGAATCAAGCCCATTTCAAAAGAAACCTTGAGGTAGTATATTTAGCGCGAATGCCCTGTCTATTGTGATATTATAAGCAGAACCCCAACAGATCACAACCAAGGTAGTCGGAGCAGTGCATTGGTACCAAATTTCGGTTGACCAAGAATCCCAGCAATTTTCTAAGCGGAAAACACTGGAACAGCTACCATCGATGGTTTGCTATTACGCTATTTAGGTTTGTTTGAGCCTCCTGATAAGAGTAGCTGCCAGTAGGTTTACCATCTCTACACTGAATATAACAATCCCGCAAATCAAATTTGCGTTTATCCATTCCATCTTATTAACTGGCCGCTCCTTGGTGTTTGTAGTTCTTACAATGACCCGTATGGATTTTAGGAACAAGGATCACGAAATGTCAAGTTGTTGCTTCCGCTACTGTCTGGTAATTGCCCAACTGAATGGAAGATTGAAATGTTCAAGACCGCACCAGAGCCGTATTAAGCTTTTCGATAGAGACACTGAGGTTATAGACTCGGAATAAGCTGGTCAAATGTGACTCGCGAGTCTACTCATCATTCTTGCAACCCACCTGTAAGAAGTCCGTCTTTTGTTTGACGCTCAACATTCCATTCCTCCTTATTGTCGAACTAAATGCGAAATCACCAGACAGCAACCAAAACTACCGCGTGAACGCGTTTACCAAATGCATCAGCGCCACTGCTTATTATACCATATCAACCGAGCGATCATAAAACCGATCCCGTTACCACCATAAGAACAGTCTAACATCACCTAATTGCCTGGACATAATTTTCATAATCGGAACTGTGACTACCCCCAGGATGGCTGTGACGTCACTAAATTACCACTCCGGCGAAGTTCGAATCTCACCAGCACCGCCTGACTTTCCCATTATGTTGAATTGCAGCAAACTTTTCCCCCTTCCTGAAAATGATATCTTTATATATGCAACATAAGCAAAATGAAAATAAAGAAAGCATTGTTCGGTTGACCTACCATATTGGTACAATATTGCGTAAACAGTTTTCACACACCGATATCCCACCCTAATCCGGTTTCCGCAATGGTCAAGTCTCTGTGCCATAGTGCGGAACTGCAGCAGCACACACTCGATTGCTCACGGACAGCGAATGTCGCGGCGGCAGATAAATCGGAATTTTTGTTTCATTGCAAGGTATACCGTTCGATTAGCTACGGTAAATTGTATTGTGTCGAAACAACGGCTTCTCACACAAGGCGACAGTAGGAAGATATGGTAAAGAGAAAAATAGTATTATACAAATGTGTCCAGGACTTCAGAACTCAACGTACAACGGAGATTTTTCACTTTGGGAACTCTGACGCCAATCTCAGACTCAAAAGATGAGACGTGGATCCAATGCGGGAGCGTGACATACAGATTTGCGTGAGAGCTGCCACCTGAAGTCTTTAGTCCGTGGTTCATAACTTTGTTCCCGCAGTGTGCGACGGTTTATTCTGTGGGAGCGCCGCTTACCCCTATACACCTGTAAAAATAAGTGAGACGTGACAACACTTTTTAAGCTGTCTTTCCATATTGATTGGGTGATTTGGGAGATTTCCATCGCCGTCGGTAGCAAGTCCAAGAAACTCCGCTCGTAGTTCCTTTGGGCGGGCACTTCAACCGACAAGTTGGTCCTCTACGTCTTAACTACAGAAGTGAGAATTAGCCAGGTGTCAATCAGCTGCTTTTGGGAGCCTTTGCTAATCTTGCAGGCATGATGGAAGCGTTATTGGAACAATACAGAATTGCAGCCCATTCTGGTGCAAGAATTTAGGCGATAAAACAGCGACAGTACACCCCGCCATTTTCTTTTGTGCTAATCTTAATGCTTCCGCACTTGTTGAAAAAGTCTCCGAACGCAATTTTACGCAGCAAATTTGATTTGGTTGTGGATCTTTTCAACATTACTCGGACGCAAGTCGAAAATGGTAGATACTCGCGAAATGGAATTTAAGTCAATGCAATGGAGCATATGCATCTTCGGGTAGTGTGGATAGAACTGGTTGTGCTGTTATACATTCTGTACTGAATACCTGAGTTGAGCTGGAAACAATTAAGGCGCATGATAAGGATCACGGCACCATCTGCTTCTTATCGTCATATGGTGTACTCTCACTCACCCAACTCCTCATTACGTGAAACTCAATAACCCCCAGGCCGAACTGAAATCCTGAGTTTCTTATTTTACAGAGACTTCAGCAAAGGGCCCTGCGCTTATCGACTCAAATCCCCTATCCATATTTGCGTGAGCAGTTCAGTTAGTCCTAATACTAGAAAGGATGCAGTTGGTATATGCCCTGATAGAAAGTTTTGTCCGCCGACCTGGCCTCCACGCGCATGTTGCTTCAAATCTACGGTGGTTATTGACAGCACGCTACGGGTCATTTGAACGTTTTTATTTGCCAATACTGGGATGGTGGAGAACTCAGTTCAGCTGAAAGGTCACTGACGGACACGCAAGAAACGAATTGTGTTCCGAATCAACGAGAAAATTGTTTCGTAGAATAGCATTATCTAAACATCAGTGACCCAAATGAACAATTTGCTGACGGTAGCTAAAGTTGAGAAGAATAAAACCGTCTCTCCGAAAAGCGCATTGTCGAACGCGTCCTAAACGATAGCACAAAGTCCCAGGATGTTCAAAACAGAATGTAGCAAACGCCCATTCATGAGTAGGTACCCGCTGCTGGGTCATGAAATCTAGAAATACTATCTGTTGAAAAGCCACCCGGACAATCCGAACGACCGGATCTGAAGGATATTAGGAGTTCAATTGAGGAAACAAATTAGCTAGGAACACCGGTCTTTAAAAGATCACCACTTGATTATCTACGCTTCGAACACAACGACAGTATCAGACCGTCACGTTCGTTCACCTTCTGAAAGCCCCCAAATATCACTAGAGGAACCAAATGTAAAATGTTAGGCAAGGAAAAAGACAAAAGATCAGCCTTGAGCTTCCCGACACAAAGCGAATTGCACACATTGAGACTCGGATGGAAGAAAGAGTGACAGGACAAAAGTAAGGAGATAGAGTGAGAGCTGAAAATGCTCGGTCAGTTTCCTGCCCGACTGATCGCGAGTGCAATTTGCCATTCTGTAGAGCCCACATGATACGCAAACAAATAACTACATTTAGAAAAGCATTGCTCAAGTAAGTATCCGTGAAATTATCGGGCTAGGGAAGAGGGACGGGCAAAGGATAGACAGGGAAAGAAAGAGAGGCAAGGTAGCAGAATTGGTTTCTCATCCACCGAGTGAACTGTGACTCCGGTAGCGTCAGCTGGTCTCATTGGATTGGAGCGGGATTCGGAAAATACCGGACGGGGTGTACAGCCAATGACCTGATTGCAACCGCAGTGAACTCTATTATTCTGTCGATTGTTGATGCGAGGCTGATTGAAGGGTTGAATCTCGAAGAGTCGTTCGTTGAGTTACAGCAGCAGTGCTGTTATTCTGATTACAGGAAGGAAAGCCCAAACCGGGAGCCAAATGTGATCCAAATATGGGAGACATCCCAGAGCTGGAACGCCACAATTCTGAAAGTCGGATTCACAGAGCACCAACAAAATTCCAACAAGAACTGTTAACGAGGCGTGGTAATATCGAAGAGAACATTTAATTATAGGCATCTCTCGTTTCTAATACCTGAGATGAACGCAAACAGTGAAGAGTTTGAAGACACTCGTGTTCCATGCGCCTTAAATGAACAACCACAACAGCGATACAGCAATACATGATGGACATATTCATTCAAGCACGTTTCAAACACCAAAAGGAAAAGATGGTGGTCTGATCTACAACCGGGGTCCCAAGAGTAAAGGACATGAAGCTCGTCAATCTATCTAGAAGAGAATAATTAGGAACGACCGTGAAGAACCGAAGTCTCCACGAAAACATTTTTACACATGGACATACAATGAGGTGTAGCATAGGGGAAGTCGCAAAAACCTACTGTCCATTTGAGAGAGCCAGCGACCCTTTTCCAAGGAGTAGCAAACTGAGCGGAAGAAGGATGTAATACTGAGCCAAACAAAAGTGAAGCTGACCATGTTGGGTCGCGATGTAAGCGTTCAAGCAACGGCTTTTACGGTCAGAGGCAGATCAGTGACTACTGCAAGCAGCTCAAAATTGCAATACTGTAGAAAACTATAGGGGGACCTTCCAATTTGTTCCCGTTCATAATTATATTCACTGTATAGATAAGTGTGAAGTACATCTTACAGGGGCGTTTAACGAAGAATAAAACTCAAAGGCCTTGTGGGTATCATCATAATCAATGATTAGATTAACCTAGGTGAACGAAATAGCCAGTAGCTAGAAATTAATTCGAGCAGTAAAGCTCTCACTGCACACGTATGGCGGGAACAAAATTATGCAGCCCAAATTGATCCGGAACTCGAAAATTTATCATGTACTACCATTCCCCTGACTAATTACGTCACTTGATTCAAGGGAAAAACAACAATACAATAACGTACGTTGAATGAGCTCGGCGGGGGGCGACAAATTGGGAGCTCCTTTCCATAGAGAATTTAACTGGGAAAAATCTGTCGAGTTCTCTGCTGACAAGAGAAAAGATACGAATAATAATCGAAACACAAAGAGTGATTACCAGGAAGGATAATAAAAGATGAAAAGTTGGAGTGCCTAATGTACTAATCCATCTAGAAAAAAGCGTCCTGAGGACTCTTCTAATACCTGATAAAGAAATTATTGCAGAACTTCCTCCGTACATAAGGTTTACTGATCGTCTTTTGTGGGCTTATGAGGTGGCCGCAAATGCATTCAATCTTTGATGAGTGACTCCCTTCGAGGATCCTCGGAGCGGTTGTCACCACTTATGAAAAACAATAGGACTGGGTACGGAATGTGGCGAACACGTAAACAACAAAATATTGCAATTTGATCGGGCTTTATTTAAGGGAAAGAAGCTTACACAGAACCTTCTAATAAATTGTTATCTCACGCAATTTTCTGATTGACTAGATTAATGTGTCAGGGAACTGGATGAATATAGTTTCAGAAAGAAAACGATAAAAAACGTTGAAGGACTAAGTATGGTGACGTTGTACGAATACAAAAAACGACGAATCGTTTGCTCATAAGAAGTACCATTAATGGTTGATCATCAATTAACAGACTTAGCTTGAAGGCTTCGCTTATCCGGGTGAGGTGTCCGCACTCCATTAAGCTTAACCGGTTGACTAGGGGAAATTGAAACTAGTTCAGACTTTAAAAGGTGTTTCAGTAAGACCTCGTAAGTTGCACTTGGTTGTGCGAAAAAATAAAGACGCACACCTGAATGAAAATGTCCAACGCTTTTGGAGACACCATTCACCTCACGATTCTTTCGTGGATCTCCAGGGGACCGCATAACATGAGCAAACGAGAGGAAGTCGGATATGTAACACCTAAGCCAACTAAGGCTAGCGATCAAACCGCAATTCAATCAATGCATGGAAAACTGTTATACAAGAGGTTCAGGAAACCAACTACTAACTTAGCAGAAGGTCGTAGAAAAACAAGACCAGATGATGAATTCGATGTGTAACTAAAGCGTGAGCAGAAAAGCTGGGAAGACCGAGATAAATGTCTTGATCGATGTGGGTCTCATCAGTAGTGCGCACCCATCGACCCAACTGGAGATCGAAATTGTGACCCCACGGGTATAACACAAGCATTTCTGCGCGTGCTTCACACAATTCCGAGGACAGACAGCGTGCGAAACAAATCACGGTACAATAATTTTTATAAAGAAGAACAACTTCCGATATATTCAAATGAAATTCTTGCCTACTATCATGAAAAATAAGATAGGTTAAATGGAAAGACGCAGATGATAAAATACTTATTGAAGGACTGAACATACACTTATATTTCGTTACCTGATGACAGGTAGGAAGTCAGCCACATAGTACCCAGTATCTAACGATCGGTTATGGAAAACATCGACATATACGCTGGGACTTAAAATGACAAACTGAATAATGTCCCGATCGGATTAGGGTGACATCACACAGGAAGCAAGCGTGGTTGCGTACTATTAACGGGTTAACACATCAGAGCACAGCCATAAAAGCTGAGAGCAGCGGTTCGAACACTATCATCTCAAACGTATCAGATTTTTCCCCTCCGTGAGGCCTGTCCCGTTACCTACCAGATGTATCTTTTGAGCGGACAAACGGACTACGGAAATCAAAACGGCGAATTCTAACCAAAATGTAATGACACCGACAGTAACGAAGTTGTTCACAAAGAAAATTGTACTAAAGACCTTGATTAGTGTCTGATCTATAAAGTGATGGGGTGACCAACGAACCGGAACAAAAACTGAATGCACTCATGGATTTGTCGCTTACTCTCATCGAGATAACGGTATAATCTACTGTAAAAAAAGTTTACAATCCTATATTGCTAAAGCTAGACGCCAGGTCCACTGAGCACAAGGACCGAGAGATATACTCAGAAGAACATGTCGATCAAGGCCACTTAGTTACAGGAAACCTATCCAGGAACTACATAAACACCGCTTTTATCGTGTG